GCAGTATTATAATACCTTGTACGCCACTGCATGTCCAGCGTCATCCTTTGAGGCACCACCAGTGCACGAGATGGACACCCTGCGCCTATGCAAGTGGTCCTGCCACTTTCTCAGCTTGATCTGGATTCGGTGGAAGGTGCCCTCTGGCACATGTCACCGCATAAGGCGGCGCCCAAGCATCTTGCGCATACCTCGATCTGGGTAGCCTGTTCCTCTACTGTTGCTCCGTGGCTACGTCTGCTCCTTAGCACCGCTACTGCGGTCCCACAAGATTGGAAGGACACTTGGATGTCGCTACTCCCCAAAATCACATCACCGACCTTACCACGTCATCTGCGACCCTTAGGTATCTCTGAAATCTCGGGTCCCGCAGTCTGTGGCCTCATTCAGGCTAAGCTGAAGCCGTTTGTCACCAGCTTCCTCCAGCTACACCCTCAATTTGCCTACTTGGCAGATCGGTCCACTGATCAGGCACTTCTGCGTGTGCTCACTCACTGCTTGTCACTGCTTGGAGGGACAGGCGTACTGTGAACCGCCCAAATACGACATCCTAAAGCAGAGATGTGCTGCCAGCGTGTCACAGGATTTACCTTCATCAGGTGCTGGCCAGAGGCGGCGAATTGGCGGGTCGATACAGCTGTCGTTGGATTTGTCACAAGCTTTTGACAGGCTTGAGTGGCGCTTAATCCGCGAAGCCCTCCAGCAGGCCTCAGTGCCTGTCGAGCTGTACGAATTGATTGTTCTTTGGCATCGCGACCTCTTTTACCACTTACGAATCTCCGATGCTACCGCTCAGGTGACAGTTCAACGAGGAGTTAGGCAAGGTTGTCGCATTGCTCCCTTACTATGGTCGCTGGCGACTGCTGTGGTGATGGTACGCACGGATCAGGCCATTGATATGGGATGGACAGCCAAGAGCTTGACAGCTTTTGCGGACGATTTCCACATGGGGGAACATGTTCGTAAGGTTACTGATCTTGATCGGGCACTTTGGCGCTTTGGCTGCTTCCTTGATCAACTGCTTGAGTCGCATCTTTTGGTGAATGAGAAGAAGTCCGCTTTCTTACTTCGCCTCACCAGAGGCTTTGCGCCCTCCTGGGTCAAGAGCCACATTCGCAAAGGAGCGGAGGGCAGGGTGGTGCACTTCACCACACCTGCTGGCCGGAGACTTGATATACCGCTCAAGGATGATCATGTTTACTTGGGACTCACCATCTCGTATCATCAGGCAGTGTCTCTGTCGGTGGAACACCGAATTACTGCAGCGTGGAGTGCTTGGACGAAGCTACGACCACTTCTTACTTCTGCCTCTGCCCCTGCACTTGATTTGAGGCCCGTCTGTGGCGAGCTTGTCTGCCACCTACGCTTCTTTACGGAGTGGACGTCTTGCCTATTACTGTCAAGCAGCTGGGCCGTCTACAAGCTGTATATACCAGGCACCTGCGTGCTGTGTCACGCTCCCAGTCGCACCTTACATTTGAAAGTACCAGGGCCTTGCATATGCGAATGGGGGTGCCCGCTGTTCGGGACATCTTGCTGCGATCTCTAGCAGGTCTCCGTGATCGTACTGTGCTTGCACATGATATTGGTCTTGAACCACCGTGTATGATCACCAAATGTGATGAGCTTGCGCATGCAATCCTTCGTCATCATGACCCGGGACAAACGGAAGCATCAGGAGGTCCCCCCCTTCGATCCGACGACTCACGCAGTCTCTGGTATGCAAGTTTGTGCCCTTTGCACTCGGTCCTTTTCGCGTTGGTCTGTCTTGCGGGACCACATACAAAAAGGAAGGTGTGTTATGCTGGATCCCTTGCTTCGGCCCAATACTCCACAGACTATGTCTGCCTTACCTCCACCTCCGGAGGTAGAACCCTCTCCCCAGGAGGGGGCCATTATTCCTTCCACGACCATTGTTGCTTTGGCACCTGCTCTTGCTGATCCCGCCCCTAGTCATGCTGCGCCTCCGTCACTTCCGTCTTTGCAAATCCCCACTGAGGCTGCTTCTAGTGGCACGCATCTATTGTGTTCTGCATCACCCCACTTGCCCATGCATGTTCCTGGTTCGGGCACCAAGGAACAAGCCAGTGACACAAGGTGGCAACTTCAGGTGGGACCCTTATGCTCGACGCCTATTGTGCAGCTTGCTGATGTTCTGCGACAGGCAAAAAGTGGTGGTTGGCAAAGCCTCATTCCTTTACCGGGATTACGCGATGAGCTCAGACATCACTGCCCGTGTTGCGGGCAGTGGTGCACATCTGCTGCTGGAATGAAGGTGCATCTTGCCAGTGCTCACTCATGTTGGGATGAACTTCGACCGCGGGTTTTGGAGCTTGCAGCGCTCATGAAAAGAGCCATCACTAAGCCCTGTCCTTACTGTTTGGAAGCTGTCTTTGACAAGCAATCGCACTGGAAACGGTGCCACGTCATTACATTGTGCTGTTTTATTGAAGCCTACGCGTGTCGCCATGACTCCAGCTCCAGCGAGCCCTGCTCCTCTACAGGGCAACCTGTCACAGAGTGCCCAAGAGCAGGAGAAGGCCATGTTCCAACATCTGGTTTCTTTCTGTCATCCTCCGGTCTCGGATCCCAGCTCCGGTGCACCCCCGTCGACCAAGTGGCCTCGGCAGGATCAGACGTGGCAGGACCCGGGAGACACGCAAATGCCTCAGGCGAGCACAGATGGTCGGAGCTCTCAGTCGAGCAAAGGCAAGGGGCAAGCCAAGGGCAAAGGCAAACACAAGGGCAAGGGCAAGAACAAAGGCAAGGGAATGCCCCAAAGCAAACCAGCCTATTGGCCTTCCTCCGGCGAGACGAACGGGCAGTTGCAGGAATGGGATGTTCAACAATGGGGTGCCACACCGGGGGCGACTGCCTCCTCGCAGCCTCCGATTCTGGGGCAGATGGCCAGATTCCTCTTGAGGCACGAGCGCCAGCTACAGGCGCTTCAGCAGGACACGAAGTTGTTCTTCTTCTTTCGCCCGGACCCTCCGGGATCGGTGCTGCCGTTCATGACCAAGGTGGCTCAACGCTGGAGAGAGCTGGTCGACGAGGGCAAGGTTCAATCAACCCTACGGGAAACGATGCTTCGAGAGCTGATCCAAGAACTCAAGAGTCGAATCAGGGGCTTCAACTCTCCGGCAATGAGTGCGATGAGGGAGAAGGCTGCCGAGATGGGATGGGTGGACTCGCAAGGCGGTTGGAACTACATGCAGTGGGATCCCACTGCCCAAAAAGATGTCCTGATGGAGAAGACAGACAGCAGATCAGTGGACTCCATCTTGCAGGATCTGCAAGCGATCGAGGACTTGATCAATGGCAACACCATTCGTCACTTCGGAAGCCTGCGCCCCATGAGTCGCACTTACCTGACCCAGTGGGTACAATTTGTCTTGGAGATCGAGCTCAGACAGGACGGCGATGCCCTGTGGAAGCTCTTCAACTCCCTGATCAATTGTGCAGTCCTTCACCTCATCGGTGCCAGACTCCGCCGGGACCGCCCGGTGACCTCGGGCCTTGCTCAGGCTCTTCAACAATTCCTGTGGGAGGGTCTGCGCCTCATTCCTTCCGCCTTCACTCACTTGATCTCTTGAAAGTTCGTCTTGCCAACCCCACTTGCAAAACATGCTACATGAACAGTGTCCTGCTTGCATTGCTCTATGTACACCTACGCATGGGCTCCTGTAGTGAGGCTGACTTGGGGCAGCTACGCCACGTATATGGGGCGCTTTGTGCGCAGTCAGCGCCTCTGGACATTAGCAAACTACTTACCTGGGTTATGCTCATAGGGCCTTGGTCGATGCCTTACCAGCAACATGATGCAGCTGAGTTCGTTCAGCACATTATGCCAAGGCTGCGATCATCACTACACACAGGTGCGTGGCTAGCCAGGAAGGTCGTAGCTGCAGTTGACGTCTGTCAAGAGGTCGACACTGCTCCCTCCTCCTTCCCTGTGCTACTCCCCATGTCAGGGGCTGCAAGCCTTCAATCTTACATTGACAAGTGGCATGCTCAAGATGACTCGGCTACCACACATGCTTACAATAGTGCCACGCAAACCGTCCTCTTCCAGTTGATGGGAGGGGCCGCAACAAGCGTACGGTCAAGGACTCAACACAGGTGCAAGGAGTATTGAGTGATCTTCACATTCCCATTTTTGTGGACTCCCATACCGATGTGGTCCAACCTTGTACCTTTGAGGTGGTGGCGGTTATCGTGCACTACGGCGCTCGTGCTGACTCGGGGCACTACCGATGCGTGTGGAAAGGAAAAGAAAGCACTTGGATTACTGAAGATGGTATTTGTGCCAAGCTATGCACTGCAGAAGATCTGGATCTTCTTTCTCGCAATGCCTATCTTATTTGGGCAGTTCGCAGATATATGAACTCAGGTCATGCCTCTTCTTTATCGAGTGCCTGATGGAGTGACACTGACGGCTACTGTGGCCTAGTGTCGATGCGTAGTTATGCGTCCACTGAGACGCCGAAGCCCAAGGTTGGCTTTGCTACAGACTTCGCTAGGCAAACTCGCTTTGCTGCGTCCGGAAGAAGATATATGTATGTATATATATATATATATATATACATACATGTACATATACACATATACACATATGCACATATACACAGGCACACATACTCACATATACTTGCATATGTACATATATACATATCTACATATAGCCAGATATACAGATACATAGATATGCATACATACATATACACTTATATACATATGTAAACATGTTCATATAAAAATATACATATATAAATATATACATATATAAACAAATACATCGATCAATAGATACACATATGCCTATATGCATATACATACATACATAAACACACACACACACACACACACACACACACACACACCCCTCTCTCTCTCTCTATATATATATATGGCATATACATACACACGCACACACATACACACACGCACACACACACACACAGAAGCAAAAGCCAACTTGGCACGACCTTTTGGTCTTGCAGGTGAACCTGGCTCTGTGGCGGCCGGTTCTGGCGTCCTCCCAGTCCGGCTTCGAGCACGTCTCGCGAATGGTCGACGGCGTCGAAGAGACTCAGTGGCTTGACTCGGAGTACAGGGTCCCTTTGAACGGATCTAGGGATTCTATAAGGGTACAGGGTTTAAGGCCTGTTACCTTGCTTATAAGCCCACCGTTATAACTACCCATGAACCTCCAAGTAGGGCATTCTCCCAGGTTTCCAATCAATCTGGGTTCCTTGTGCATTTAAGCGGCTTATCGTCCTAAGCCCTCAAGCCTTATCTTGGAGCAGAAATAGGCACTCAACAAAAACTTGATCTTGGGGGATGTCTGGCCCTTCACAACGCCCAGGTGGGTCTCGGGTTTCGAGCCACAGCCCTGGGCGTGGGTTGACTTGCTTGGCCCCTACGCCATTTCGGATGTTGAGGTGCACCTTGGACCCGGCTTTCGGGTTTACTTGGAGGGTTGGGGGACTTAGAAAGTAGGTAGGGAGACTTATAAGTACCCTAAAAGGGACCCTAATTGGGGTTATGGTACTTATAAGTCCCCAAAATAACCCATTACTAAGTCCCCCGACCCTCCAACTAGGGTTTAGGGGGGTCGGGGCTTCAGGGTTGATTTCAACATGGACTCTTGAGTTTGGGACCAAGGCACTGGGGTGATTACTTTGCGCAGTACGAGCTGCAGACGAGCTTTAACGGCATCGACTGGGCCAGCGCAGCAACGGATGTGGCGGGGGGGGGGACGGGTTCCTCAACTTTCGCGGTTTCTTTTGATCTACAGCTTATGTTGATACATGCAGTCTTCACAAAGAAATCCCAACATCCGAGAAGCCATGTTTGCGTCACGTAAATAAAAATCCACAACCTTACCCTGGGCTGGACTCACCATGTTTGTGCAACAGAAACCAGAAGCAGCCAACCACCTCATCCCTCCCAGTGGTCCCAAACCCTGCCTGAACCCTGAGCCCTGGGGTACCTTGCTTCAGAACTGAATCCTGGCCGTGCGTTGCCCCTATGCAGTCTGCGCGCAACGCACCTGTCACGACAACCCTAAACCCTAAACCTCAAACCCTAAAGCGTAAACCCTGCTTGGAGGTTCATGGGTAGTTAATAAGTAGGGTTATAAGTAGGGTAGCTATACTTAAAACCCATACTAGCGGACTTATAACCTCACTTATGGCACCCCGTGAACCTCCAAGTAGACCCTATTCCGGCAGCCGTAACCCCGAAACCCCAACCCCTTAACCCTAAACCTTAAACCCTTTCAACCATTCCCTAAGCCCCCTGAGGTGGGCGGCCAAGGTCAGATTGTGCGAACCAGGCTGCCGCCCGGGACACACGCGCAGTGGCTGCGCATCCTCTGCTTCTCAAGGCGCCAGTGCGCTGGGGCACTGGATTCGGCCTTTTAGGGTTTGGGGTTTGAGGTGGCTTGGATTACTCTTTGGCTTGCAAGCCGAGGTTGTTGTTCCGCTAACTTTCGTGGTTCTTGACCAGTTTTGGGTGTCCCCAAACCCTAAACAAAGCCTTAAACACAATACAAAAGCAACACTGCCTGAGCCATGCAAGTGACAAGCAGCCGAAAAGCCTCAGACCCTGAATCCTAAGCCCTTTACAAAGCTGCACCAGTGCTTCCCCTATTTTGAGGTTCTCTACCGGTCAAGGGTTAGGGTTTAGGGCTTGGGTTGGGGTTGTTGGGGTTTATGTGCTCGGCAAGTCTGCCTACTGCCCCTCCCACACGCCCATAAGGCCCGAGACCGCCTTATCCTACATGGGTGGTTGTCAAAATTGGGGTCCCTTTTTGGGTCCTTATTATAATACGGCACCTAATATTTAGGGTGCCCAAAAAGGGACCACCCACATAGACTTCAAGAGCTGTTTAGGGTTTAGGGGTTTAGGGTTTAGGGCCTCCCGCACTTCATGAAACCCGCCATGGGAACCCAGCAGAACAATGGTAATCTGCAAAGGGGAGTTTCCGAAAATTGGGGACCCTAATGTAGTACCCTAGATAGTAGGATCCCTATTAGAAGGACCCCCAGAATAAGGTACCCCTAGTTTTGGGAAACTCCCATATGTGGGCTGCTAAGCAGTGACTGGAGGCTCTGTTCCAATGTGACAGATTCCCTTTAACCCTAAACCCTAAACATTTGCCACGTAACATATGTCTGGTTCTTAGTAGGGAATGTGGGAATGGATTATGGAGACTGCTATTGGGGATTCTAAAGCGACTACTCCAGGGGATCCATTCTCCCATTCCCTACTTAGATGATCATGGGACTTAGTGAGTAAGGTTATAAGTAGGTTATGGTTAGGATAGCCCCACTTAGGGGACTTAAAACCCCAAGTAGGTTATTCTCATGGGATCCTTTAAGTACTACTTGGAGGGTCGGGGGACTTCGTAAGTAGGTAGTAAGTAGACGTAAAGGTACCCTAAAAGGGACCCTCATTGGGGTTATGGTACTTGCAAGTCCTTAAAGCAACCAGTTACTACCCTAAACCCTAAACCCTAAACCCCCGACCCTCCAAGTAAGTACTAAACAACCAGACTTGAAGCTGCCAGAGTCAGGTGCAGCATTCGAGAGCTTGCCATTTTTGAGGCAGAGCAGTCGAGGCTCTTGGCCATGGTCCCGAGGAGTCCAAAGGGGGGCTGGAGGAATGACACTACTTAAAGGATCCCATGGGACTTAGTAAGTAGGTTATAATTGGGGTTATAAGTCCCCTAAGTGGGTTTTATCCTAACTATAGCCTACTTATAACCTTGCTTACTAAGTCCCATGATCCTCTAAGTAAACAGTCATTTTTGTTGGATGTATATAAGATTTTGGTACTTACCTTGGCTATTAGCGTTAGCATTGTTTATTGAGAGTATTGATAATGGATGGTTTGTTTTGGGTCGAGAGCTTTTTTGGAGTATTGAAGGGCTGACCCTCAGCTGTGACTCGAGCGTGCAGGTGGAGTGGGTTGGAGGAAGAAGTTGAAGGAGATGATAGTCAGGGGTGTAGCTGGAAAGAGTTCTAATTTTTGGTTACTATAACCCCTAAGAAGCACCTAAAACCGTAAAGGGTAGCAAGTTCAGTATACGAGTGTTGAAAGCCAGGGCATCCTTGAGGATCCCTGAAGCCAGTAATATAGGGGCCTCAATAATTACCTATACTATTTTGAGGGTTCCTTTTTTAGGATTGTAGTATAATGGGCCCCAAAACCCTATTCTAATTATGAAGGCCCCTATAGTAGACCCAACGATCCTCATGATAAACCCCCGGAAATTGCAGTGCAGCCGCAGGGGAACGAACAGGAGTCCCCTGCAGGAGTCCAAGCACTTGGGCAATAGGACCTTCCATGTGATCTTTCGTTCACTACCATGAATAAAGGACAGAGAGAGAGAGAGAGAGAGAGAGAGAGAGAGAGAGAGAGAGATATATATATATTATACAGATATATATATATATATATATATATATATATATAGAAAGAGAGAGAGAGAGAGAGAGAGAGAGAGAGAGAGAGAGAGAGAGAGAGAGAGAGAGAGAGTGGCCGGAACCCAGACTCTCTTCATGTTGCACCAAGTTCCCTACACGTACCTTGCCTGGCTTGTAGTTGATGTTTTGTGCCTTTTTGAGCTTAGGGCTTTGGGGCTTTCTTGCACGTCGGGGGAACCCGAAATCCTTGCTGTCCAGAGAAACTCGTGCAAATAGTTTCGATGATACTGTAGTTGTTATCTGGTCATGGGTCGTTTGCTGAGCTCTTTTGCAGTGGGGGGGGGGGACCTCAAGAGTCAAACTGATGCACTAACTTCGGATTCAGGTGCCATATATATGGTGCAGCGCTGCTAGGCCCCCCCTCCCCGCTCCCCCCCCACTGGTACATGAGACCGACTCCGGTACGTTGCTGTTCACAGTCCCTTCAAAAAGCCCGATAATCATGGGGGGCCCGAGTGGCCAGGGGCTTGAAACACTCTCTATGCCCTGTGGAAGAAGAGAGAGAGAGAGAGAGAGAGACAGACAAGGAGAGAGTCTTTGTCGTCTCCACTCAATACCATGTAACATCGTAGTTTCCAGTCGCTATTTGAACATCTCATGTCAAATGAACCAGCACTTCGCCAGAAGAGGAGTACGCAGAACCTGGCGAACGCCATGGCCCAGCAGACGGAGGCAGGATAGGGTGTCGGGAATCTTCAGCTACGAAGAGTCGACGTTACTTGGAGGCCTTCCCAACTTTCAACATTTTCCTGCCATCCCGACTCCCACTACAAGGTAGGCTTGCTCATCAAGATAGCCTCCAGGCATGACTAAGTACTACTTGGAGGGTCGGGGGACTTAGTAATTGGTTATTTTAGGGACTTATAAGTATCATAACCCCAATTAGGGTCCCTTTCAGGGTACTTATAAGTCTACTTACTACCTACTTACTAAGTCCCCTAAAGACCCTCCAAGTAAGTACTAAGGTTCTGATGGAGCTGCAGGGAAGCTCAAGATTCCTCGACCACAAGGGTTTGTTTAACCGTAAACCCCAAGCCCTAAATCAAAGGGGAAGGAAAAGGAGGGACCCTTAATAGGGACCCCTAGGTATATACCCTTAATATAGCCATTTTTATCCATTATATAGCCCATTATAGGGTAGGGGTCCCCAATAAGGGTTCCTCCTTTTCCCCTTTGACTAAAACCTTCGCCCGGAGGAGACCCAATAGACGCGGCCTGAATTCACACCGATTCCTATCATCGTCTGAGCTATGGTCGAAGCACCACACTCAACGCTTGTGTTGGAGAGCCTATATGCGCTTTCTATGGTTAATGCCATGGAGCTTGTGAGGGCATGCATAATCAGGGAGGCTAATGTAAAGTCCAACCCCACTGCATTCCCAAGATTTAACTCATCTTCGGCGTGCCGCATGGCAAAATGTTTGTTGATCTCCTGCTGAAGCCTACGACCGTCGAATACCCACTACTTGGAGGGTCGGGGGACTTAGTAAGTAGGTAGTAGGTAGACTTATAAGTACCCTAAAAGGGACCCTAATTTGGGTTATGGTACTGAAGAGCTTTGGGCTCTGGGTAGGCTCAAGGGTTCAGAACCATGCGGCGCGGCAGCTAACCTTTTCGCACTCCGAAAGCAACGTGTTAAGTGATCTCTCAAAGCTGACGATCTTTACAAGTCTACTCTGAGAATCGTGATTTGACTCATGCTCAAGCCTCAAAGCTGAGCCACAGTACATGTCACCGTCACAACGAAGTGAGAGCTCTTCCACACTCCTCCTTGCCTCTTACCTCCGGTTTCGAGGCACATATGACGGTGGCACAATGTTTGCACAAGTATACAGCCTTTTGCTAATTTGGTATTCTCACTACAACGTGGTTGCTCACGCTGTTCTCCATGTCTCAATCCACTGAGAGATCCGGGCTCTGTCGTTGATGGTGTCCCACAGGAGTCGCACCCGCCCACTGAGGTTCTTTTGTCGAAACAACCATAGGACGTACTTCATTTGCCGCATCGTAGGCAAGGAATCTTCACGATCATCACCAGCAGGAGAAAGCATATGACTCAGTCGCGCAACCAAATCAGCTTTTATGCCTGTAACTGGAAGCCCTTCACACCTCAATCCAGTCTTCAAGTCATCAACTGACATGAGTGACAACATGTCCCTCGCAACTCGAGCCCTTTCATCCACATTCTCTGAGCGCAAATTCACACGTGATCCCCGAGAAGACGACTGTGTCCCACTTGAAATTCTCCTTGAAATAACTGGGGACGTGGACCGCTCTACCCTCGTAGCAGTAGATCTCATCGAAGTGCTCGAGGATGGTTCGGAAACACGTGCACGGGGTTCAGGGCTTCCTTGGAGGGGAGAGGGAGCAACATCACGTCGGTCTCGTTGTAGGGCCTCCTGCCGTTCTTCATGTAGTCGGATTTCACGCTTCGCTGCCTCAGCAGCGATGGTTCCCACATCTCTAAGTCGCTTGGCTTTACGACACCCCTTCATATACCTGGCAACCCTCTTGTAGGCCCACTTGGAAAGCTCCCAGATCACGACCGTCATCACGCAAACAACCACAAGCACGAACAGAATCTCATCCCATTCAATGCCCTTCAACGGCTCCTTGCTCTCGGACGGCTGAGCTCTAGAGGGGCAAATCAACGAGGAAAGCATCATCGCCAGCATTAAGGCCTTCAACTTGAAGATCTTGACAGTCTCATCCACATAGGAGCCAACAAAACCCCACAGTCGTAGTAGCTGTTGAAGTCGCAGTCGAGGTTGCAACTTGGTCGCTAAATCTGCCAGCTGCAAGTTCCCCTCAACATGGTGAATTGTCATGCGACCTTCCTGCACTGACTCTCGTACGTAGCTCGCCCTGATCTTCAGGTGCCTAGTTCGCTGTGAACCTGGGCCTCCAGCTAGCATTGCTTCCGCGCTCGTATTGTCCACTGCCAAAGCCTTCTTGTAGACACCCGGGTACACTTCGTTGACCAGTGCAGCGATCGCCTCCAACAACAAGCAACCCTGAGTAGCAGCGTATAACTCTGCTTCCATAACACTCAAGGTCACAAACGCTTGGCGACCTGCTTTCCAAGCAACTGGTGACTGGTTGATAGTCACAACAGCCGCCCCAAAGGACCTCTGCCCGAACGGTGCATAACTCGCGTCCGTAAAGCACGTGATCACCTTGTCCACCTCAGCAACTCCTCCAAGTCGAAGCTTCAGGTCCTTTGTGCCAGCTAGATACGACAATAATCGTTGTCCAACTCGATAAACATGGTGAGGTCGACGACTTACAAACGTACTCATATGGTTGACGATGAAGAGAATATCAGGTCTTGTTTTCGTGGCTAACCACAGCGCTTCTCCCACACATTTTTGTGCCCGACGTAGATCATCTTCCTGAAAATCTTCTTGTTCTTCCTGTGTTTCGGCCATCTCAATCCACTCTCGAGGGGCGGGAAGTTGAGTCGGATGGACGTCCTGCATCTCGTAGGTTCGTAGAAGTTCCTCCACATAAGCCTGCTGACTTACAAAGAAACCACCACCCTTTCTCTTCAGGATCTCTACACCCAAATATCTCACCGCCGAAGACTCATTGATCCACTCAAGATCACTCGCTGGCCACTCCTCCAAAATGAACCGATGTAAAGCTTCAATCAAGGCTCTCTCTCCAAAGTACAACAAATCGTCCACATAGGTCACCAAGAGCCCATAGAGAGTCCTTGTGTGCTCCTCCTGAACCAGCCAAAGCTCTGGGTCAGACGTAGTAGCCACAAACCTGAGGATCACGCCTTTGAACGGAATTCTCGCTTTACTCAGGCGATCAGACCGAAAGCTTCCCCATATGGCCGGTGACTCTCGAAGTCCATACAAGGCTCTGTCTATGATCCAATACTCAACCTCCGTAGCCTCACCACTGTCCCGAACCACTCGTGGAGGACGAATGGCATAGCGAGGGAGATCTGCTGGCCAGGGGGCCAGCAGGAATGCACTGGCAATGTCTGAAATTGCTCCAAGCCAATCGTTCAAGGAAGCAAGCACCAAAGCCACCCTCAATGCATCCGTAGAGGCACCGGTAGCATAAAGATTGATATCGGAGGACCCCGTCGGCACAAAGTTTCCGCAGATAACGATTCTACACTTTCTTTTTGCCCGGCAACCCGACACTGCAGGAGGCTTCAGGGTGAACACGCATTTCGCCGGAGCCATCATGACCTTGCCCTGGACTTCCAGGTCCTTGATCTCTTGATGAGTCGCCCGTCGCAAAGTGCCGGTTTTGAACAGCATCTCAACCTCCTTTCTGATAGCCTCCACCCACCGGCTCAGTGCATTCTTGACCTGGGGCAACGGAACCGTGTGCACAATCTTCAAATCCTCCTCCAACGCATCGAGCATGGTCTCGTAGTCAATCTCCTCCGACTGCATTGTAGTAGACGACGATCCAGTTGACCTCATTGCCTTCAAGCACGTCATTGCCCGAAGCTTCTCTAACTCAACAAGGCCCGTGTGCACTTCATCCAAGAACGCCGCTACTTGATCACGAGCTCCCAACAAATGCTCTCGAGACTCCTCCCTTAATCTACGGTACTCCTCAGACATGATCTCCTCGTGCTCAATGAGATCTCGAAGGCGACCTGCCCGATCTTCCATATCCTGGATTGCTAGGTCCAAGTCCTGGCTGACATGTAGAGCGTCCAACTCTCCAAGCGCAAAGGGTTCACAAGTCCGATCGCCCTTGGTTGCCGTAGAAGCTTGTGGTAGGTCACGTGTTACCCCGGGGGAAGCTTGTAGTGGATCATGTCCCGTCTCTGTGGAAGCTTGTAGTGGATCACGTCCAGTCTCTGCGGAAGCTTGTAGTGGATCACGTCCAGTCTCTGCGGAAGCTTGTAGTGGATCACGTCCAGTCTCTGCGGAAGCTTGTAGTGGATCACGTCCAGTTCTTGCGTCCAACAGCTGTACTCTCAGAGCACTCAACGTAGAGGAAGGGGCAGAAGGATCAGCTGGTCGAACGTGAGGATCCCAGTCAAAACCATGATGTCTCAACATAGCCACATGGTCCTCGGAAAGTTTGCCACTGTCCCTCACTGAGTAGCCCACAAGGACAATGCGTTGCCCATCCTTCCATGGAGCCGTCGAATGCTTCTGGTGAGGCTCAAAATAACTCGGACTGTGGGTCACCTCAATGGTCTTGCATCCATCATCTCCTTCCACAACCAGTCCACCTTCAGAAAAAGTCGACAAAGCGGTTATCAAACTTTTCCCCACGTTGTGAACATCCTTGTGCTCCTGAGTTAACACATCCACATTGACCGCCACCGCGTTGAACTTAAAGTCTGGCGCGATCTGCTTCAAGTACTTGTTGAACACCATAGTGGACATAGGAAAAGACGTTGTTGCCCTCTTAACTCCAAGCACCCCACCATGAACGAAAGCTCCAGCGGACCAAATTTTTCCATCTCCACCTTGCTCACCAAATCTCTTGGGAACTCTTGAGGTCGTCGGCAGCAAATGCGTAAGGGTCTCCAACTGGTCTGGGATCAAGAAGTCTTCGTCAAGTAGTCCCATCGCATAGTGCTCCGCAGGATGATTGGGATCGTAGGGTCCAACTATCTCCTCATCGGGGTCTTCGTCTTCACGAGTTGCGTCTGTTTTCCTTCGATACCTTTTCACGGGCACTGG